CTCACGTTTCAGGAGATGGCTTTTCTGGCATATATTCATCTCCCGGTGTAAGTGGTGGAGGTGGCGGTGGTGATGATTCTCCATCGTAATGTTCTATGTCATCGTGAGAAATTGACAAATCAGCTGAAATTGAAATTTTAAAATCAAGGTGGAGATTAGACTTGCGTCATGCAAGGTAACAAAAAATGACCAGAAGCTCGCTCACCGATTGTGGTTTTCGTTGGTTTCTCCGCTGTTCCTGTTTCTGACTCACTGTTAAGGGCCACAACTTTTCGCTCTCGTTGCTGGCGTGCTTCATCACCTGCTTGCGCCAACGTCCCAACGATCGAAGTAGTTAATATTCCCAACAGTATCAAGGGGTTCGACCACATCCCTATAAAACTAGAGACTACGAGTTCATAACTGCTCAGGTTAGCGCAGGACGAGCTAAAAGAACAAATTTCCATCATTCTCCTCATATTACACGCACACTTGTCCAGAATTGTAAGAATGAAAGACGAAGAGATCCTAAAGAAACAAACATTTAAAACCCAAACAAATCACAGCAGTGCTGATCCGGCAAGCTGCCAAAACACGCATTATTACACCCAACGTAAAATTGCGGAGACTAGTGATGACGCGCAAAAGCGCGTCGAAGCAGAGAATCAGATTCTTTTTGATAAATATGTCGTAGAAATATTTTGAATGTGGTCAGGTCATATGATAGAAAGATCTAGGCAAAATTCTTAGTTGAGATGAGATTGATACAGTGTAGCAGCTATATGGCTGAATTTTTCAGCTATCACTACGGTTGAATGGTGTTCCAATATAGACGGCCTCCCACTCATCTTTTTGCCTGTGCGCTTTGTCTACCGGGCACAGTCTATTCAGTCAGTTGGTTAAGGGTCATCAAGGTTGATCCATTGTGATAGCAGGGCCCACAAACCATTATTCGTCGGGCCTGGACAATTTAACCGGAATATTTGTGTCTTTTAAATTCATTATATACCACAGCACCACCGAGTGCAAGCCGAGCTAATAGAGATTCAACTGTGTTTGTGTAGAAACACGCACGGGCCTTCCATACACTTGGTTTCACTGGCTATACCACAAGTCATTTGAAGCCATCTGTCATGATCTTTGACTATCTGAATGAGCAGAAAAAAA